TTATTTTCCCGTGGTCACTACAAGCAAATCAAAGTGTAATATGCGCTGATAGCTAACTTGCATATGACAACGCGCTGCGCACGAAATGCAGCGATTATCTATAAAAGTGTAATGTGGAAGGGATGCTTTAGCAACAATTTTAGTTAACTTTTTTTCTCAAATATGTGATAACATGTTATTTTTATATTTATTTAACGACTATTGCGCAACACAAGTGTGGTATAAGCGATGCAGCGCGTCATGCAGCGCGACGCATATAGTGTGATACTGATGATTTATTTTTGAAAGATGCGATTTTGGAACATAATAAAATCATATATGGTTGAATTCAGCGTAAAAAATGCTACAACTTTTGTCATTACAAAAATTTTGAAATTCAAAAAAATAATAACAAAGGGGTGGGGGTAAATTAAAAAAAATTACATTTTTTGAAAATCCAACTACACAGTTATAAAGCCCATTACAAGCCATACAACTTCTATTTGAAACATTTTTTTATATCTTCTACGGTTTTGGCGATAGTTACACACAAAGAAAAAACCGTTTTTTTGCAAAGGGGTGTTTCACCCCTTAAATTTGAGTTAGGGCCGCTATAAAAAAATACGTGTCTCCTCAAATTGTATGTTTTACAACATATTTCAAGGAGAATCAAATCGGGAGGGGACATTTGTGAACGTTCCCTTGTTAGTGATTTTGATTCTGTCACACGCGACAATATATCGAATTAAAAAAGAAACATAAAATATGCTGTATTTTATGTGTTTTTTTAACTTAATTTTTTTATTAGAAAAAGTAAGGCTAAAAAAATAATAAATACATTTTAGGGAGGTAACTTTTAACTTTCCAACGGTTTTTTTTGGCGGAGAGCTATACGATGATTATATTGATGAGTAATAAACAATTCAAGTCAAATTCAAGTATTATAATATATTCGGATAATGCTTTTTTTTATTTACTTACATAACAATTGTTACGTTATTTATTCTTTCTATACAGGGTGTCCCATTTTAAGTGGGCACCCCGAATAACTTCGAAGGAAGTGATTTTCAAAGAAAATGACCCCGACAAAAGTTGTTGGGTTTGGAGGGGGACATTTGATGATGACATTGGTTTAACCTAGGGTATACATGCCAAGGTCATATGGAGGTCAACTTTGTTTTTTTAAATAAAACACTCTATTTTTTATTCCAAAATTTAATAGCTGGTGTCAAGAGTTTTTCAAAACACTATAATAAAGTTATTTTTCATTAAGTACTTTTCGAGTTATGAGGGTTGTAAATTACAGTATTTTG